ACATACATACACACACACACACATACACACACACACACACATACATAAAACATATATATGACAAACCCTTCTTAAAAAAAAAAACAAAAAACATTAGGGAGTTGAAATAAGGATAGTCAAAGTCAAAGAGATCCATGAAACAGAATGGAGTCCAGACAGACCTATACTTTTTTTTATGACACACTTTATTTTTAAAGATATCAACTAGTTCAGAATAAGATGGAAAGATTGTCCCAGGAGAAGAAAAGTTTCTGAAGAAGAGTCTGAGGAGCTCCTGGAGACAAAGGAACAACTCAGTTCCAGTAGGGTTTTTGACATCCGTGATGGAAAAGAATTTCAGCATGCACCAGCCAGAGACACAGGCAGAGGTTTATTTAGGAAAGCAGAGGCACGTTCAAGGGACAATGTGGTCCATCTCAAGACAAAAAGTTTTGAGGATAAAGCAAGGTATACACATTCAAAGGAGAATGTGGACCACCTTCAGAGGGAGAAACAGCCCAGACCCACACTTTTGTAGTCAACTGGCTTCTGACAAAGTAGCCTATGAGGAAAAGCAACATTTTTTTTTTCTCTTTTAGAAACATCTTTAACAAATGATGCTGGAACAACTAGATATCCACTGGGGAAAAGATAATCCTTGACCTCTGTACCTTACAATATACACAAAAATTAATTGGAGATGGATCATGGACCTAATTGTAAAAGTTAAAGTTGTATTTTTAGAAGAAAATATAGCATTGTCCCAGCCTGGGGATAATTAAAGATTTCTAAGACTGAGAACAGAAAACAAAAACCATAAAAAGGAGATAATTCCATACACTGGGTTTGACATAAAAAATTTCAGCATATCAGCCAAATGTGGTGGCCACACCTGTAATAACAGCTACTCTATGAGGCTGAGGCAGGAGGATCATAAGTTCAAAGACAGTCTTAGCAACTTAGCAAGACCCTGTCTCAAACTAAAAAATAAAAAGAGCTGGGGATAAGGCTCAGTGGTAGAGCATCCCTGGGTTCAATCAAAAAAAAAGGGCTGGGGCTGGGGCTCAGTGGTAGAGCACTTGCTTTGCACGTGTGAGGCCCTGGGTTCCACCCTCAGCACCACATAAAAATAAATAAATAAATAAAGATATGTGTTCATCTACAACTAAAAAATATTGTTAAAAAAAACCCCAGCACATCAAAAGATGCAAAGATAGTACAGACATTCCTTCCTCTTCCTTTTCTGCTCTCCTCCTACTCTCATGGCCTGCCCTGCCCTGCCCACAGTCACAGCTCCCTCCTCTTCCTGGCCCTCTCCCCTTCCTCCTCTTAGAATGAGAGAAATCATAGGGAAAATGGACCAGAAAATCA